AGAGCTCCTCCTCCCACTTCACCCTCCTTGTTCTGTGTAGCTCACCCCCCCCACCCCACCCTTTGCACCAACAGCAACCCACCAGCCCTCGCCTTACCCTTCCACCACCTCCATCTCTCCCTCTGCCCTCTCTCTCCTTCTCTCTCTGTTGCCTCATGGCTTGCTATGACCCATCTTGCACCTCGCGGAGCCCACAACAGATGCTCGGTGTGTGAAGAAGGTCAGGAGTTCAGGCTTTGCTGAGGCTCCATCCCTCCCTCACACAGAGGAGGCCTGCCCTGTGGGTTTATAATTATCTGCTGTTGGCATTCAGCACAGGTTCAAGCACAGTGCAGGCGCTGGCACCAGGGTGGGGGCGGGCGGTGAGGGGGGAGAAGGGGAGGGGGATGCGCATGGATACACATTTAGTGATTAGTCGTCCCTAATTGTCAGTTCCTCATTCCCTTTTACCTTTCTCTCCCTCACCCTCTCCCAGACGCCCTCTCTCCCCCCTCCCTCCCCTTATCAGCTTTACATTTATTGAGCCGCAGCTATTGTCACCTCAAAAACCCTCGGCTGTGTTGGAATCTGTTTCAGTGATTTTGTAGAACCTTTTGGATTGATTTACCCAGAGATAATGTATCCTGTTCAGTTCTGTTCTTCAAACTCGTTGTTGTGATTTTATTAGATTTAGACTGTGGTTTCATGGATCCTAAAGAAAAACACGCACCTATACTAAATGATACATACTGAAAATGAATTGATACTGCAATACTGTTTCATATCTCATTACTTTTATGACAGCACAGAGTACTTTATTAAGGATGCAACACCTACACCTGTGGTAGGTCAACAACGTCCTCAGTTTGGAGGTGTTTCAGGGAGCAACTTTTTCCTGTTGCGTAATACCACTATCTATTATTCGTAGTTTAATTAACTATAATACTTAAACAGCTTAAACTAGCCTCGTGTTAATTAGAAGAAAATCAAACTGGCTCTTGGACAACTGCAGTACGACAGTTATCCAGGTATGTTCATATTCTGACAAGGGTTTCCCAAACATCTTACAGTAGAGGGATCCGTTATTTACTGAGGTCAAAATGTCACCGTCAAGAAAGATAATTTGTTCCATCTTCGCCCTCGTCCTCGATACTTTTGATCTAAGCCCTTGATGTGTTTGATCTCTCCCCTCTCTCAACTGCCTCACCCCTTAAAAAAAATCAGAACAGCATCTATTAATCAGAATGGGATACCAATAGATGACTCAGCTGCCGGTCTCAGTCACACAGGGAAAATGTCAGGAAGCTTAAATGATGTTGAGAACCAGGGGCAGTTCAGCAACTCTGTGAAGTTACACGTGTTAAATCTGGTTCAAAAGTATGTTAATTCTCCCATGAACAGTACCTCCACCTCCCTCTGGTACCTGGAAAAATCCTGGAGGTTCTTCTCAGCATGTTCTGGACAACTACATCCCCATGCAGCACATAGGTGACCCTTAGCTGATTTAGCATCTTCCACTGTGCTAGCTCAGAAGCTAAAGTTGTTCTCGCTAGCACAGACTGTTCTAGTGAGTCTTTGGAGTTGTTCTGTCCAGTTAATTTCTGTGTAAAGTTTTTTTTCTGGTTCTCTCTGTCTGCAGTACTTGAACTATTAGCAGCCATGGTTAAGCTAACTACGCTAATTGGCTATAGCAGGGCCTAGCGTTCCTTCCTTTTCTGTGTATCTAAAGTAAATCTTCCAAATAAAGTTAACTAACCCAACTACTTAGTAACTCTAGTTCACTACGAGGTTTTGAGCAAAGCTTGGAGCAGGAACTGAGTTGTGTCCACCTAAAAGTGTGTCACGTAGGATAAATCCATCCCTCGATGCCTCAAAGATAACTGCGTGCACCATTAGTCACTCACACCCGGGATCTCTGAGTGAGTCCATCACTGCTGCTCTGAGAAACACATCTGCAAACCTTGAGACGGGCCCTGAAATAGGCTGACAACTAAAGCAATACAGTTGGGGGCTGTTGAGAGGAAAATAAAAAAAAAGAAAGGAAAAAGGAACAGCAGTCGGGCAGATGTGGGGCCTGGAAAAGTGCCAAGCAGCGCCCTGTCATCCCGCAGCAGACCCTTCATCTCAATATGAGTGAGGGAGAAAAGAGAGAGAGAGGGAGGCAGTGGGAGGAGAAAGAGAGGCACGGGGAGATTTTGTACAAAGACTCCATAACTATTCCTTCATCTGAGAACATCCCTCCAAAGCCCTTGGCAGCACGAGGCTACGACTGCACACCAACAGTTCAATCAGCCGTGCCAGCTGATGTTGAGGAGAAAACCACGTTGAATGTCAAATAATTTATTGTGCAAACACCTCGTCGAAATGTAGCACCTCGAACAGCATATTATTCTTTGACATTTAACAGAAAGTAGAGCTATTCCTTTGGGCCTTCCATAAAAATCTATATTTAACACAGGAACAGATGGTGAGAATAAAAACCCCACATTTGCCCCCCCCCCCCCCCCCC